GTCTCAAATCGTCGGAGTCCGCTTGGGAGAGGATCGTACATTTTGGCCGTGGTTTGCGACGCTGGGTGAAATGAACATACTAGGAAACTTTTTTAGAAGTTCTGTAAAATTACCAATCTTTGACAAATTCCATCTGAGTCCGACTCGTTTGTTGAAGTCTAATTAAAAGAAGTACAACTTCAAAAAATTGGCAAGATCTTAAAATTCTGGTTACTCTTCTTTTGAAATAGCACGTGATTTAAATTCTTGTGATATTTTTATCATGCAACATATTGATAATCATGATCATCGGCATAAATAAGAATTATAAATCAGAAACAGATGAAAACACGGGAAAACTCGGGTTTAAAGAAAGTTTGACAGCTGTTTAATGCTTAAAATTGTCAGAAGCAATGTGTTCTGCGCTCAGTGTTTACAGAGGAATAAAAGTGAATTTTGTTAATTAGTTTCGGAATCCAATGTAAATATGGTATTTCGAATTCGATTCGGTTGTTGATAATGCTAAAAATATATTAAACTTGGCACTTGAAAAATTTCTATCTTAGTAAGTGAACTATAACTGCAAGTTGGATTACCACTTATACAGTATATAGTAAAATTCCAGTTCCGCTAAAATAAATTTTAATAATATGAAACAGAGTAATTCAATATCATATATGTTCCCAAACTACGTTCGTTTGGAAACATAAATATGGTAATACGCGCCTTTTTCTCTTGGTTTATCAATCTGTAGTTTGAAGAAATAATTTGAGTCCACTTCCAGACGCTATTTATTGATAAATTGTATGTTCGTTCATAATTAAAAGTTTTTTTTTATTTCTGAAATAAGGAGTCAGTTGCAATCTATATGAAAAAAGGGAAGCGATTAATGTCGTTAAATGTCCAATGCATGGTTCAATTGTATCCGATATTCGATGAAATGCATTGTCTCAAGCCACGGTTCGGTTGCGGACTACATGGGAGAGGGTCGTACATTTTGGCCGTGGATTGCGACGATCGGCGAAATGAACATACTAGGAAACTTATGTAGAAGTTCTGTAAATTTACCAATCTTTGATCAATTTAATGCGAGTCCGACTTATTCCGTTGATGTCCAATTAAAAAAACTATAAGATCGTAAAATTTCTGGTAACATTCCTTCGTGGAAAATGACGTAATTTCAAGACCATTCTTTGATATTTTTCACAACATATTGATAATCATCGGCATCGATAAAAATATACATAAGAAAGAGATAAAACCACGGGAACACTAAGGTTTAAAGAAAGTTTAAAGCTTAAAGTTGTCCGAAGCAAGATATGTGTCCTGTGCATGGTAAACTGCAACGTTATCCATCTTAATTAAGACGCCTTATGCGCTTTTCTGTTTCAAATTGAAAAAAACAGAGCACCAGGGAGGCCAGAATACGTAATGTACGCCATGATTGCAGACCATGCTTGAAAGGTAAGAAGCGATAGTTTTTGCGATATCTTGAATTTATTATACCCTACGAACAAGTTGCAAGAGGTATAATGTTTTTGACCTGTCCGTCAGTCAGTGTGTCAGTCCTGTATTTTTGTCAGCACAACTCCTCATAAACCACTGCACGGGACGCATACCTTAAATTTCAAACTTTGCAGAGATTTAGGACACAATGTGTAGATGTGCATACTACCGGGGAATTCCGATTCCTTTATTTTTCTGGAAATTTCGGCAATTTTCAACTTAGTTTTTTTCCCATATCTTGAATATAGAGGTGAGCAGTTTGTCAGCACAACCTCTCATACATGTATATAAACCGCTCCATGGAATTTCGTCAAACTTTGCAGACAATTACACAATGTGTAGATGTGCATATTACCAGGAAATTCCAATTCCTTTATTTTCTCGGGGAATTTTTGCACTTCTAATTTTTGGGGGAGCGTGGGGTATGTGAGCTCGCTCACTTCTTCTTTCATTTAACGAGATTGTTAATATCACTGTTTAGAGAGGAAAATAATAGAGGTTATTCAATGTTTTGTTGTTGAATATGGAATTAATTTCACGAGTGGGACGGGATTTTTTTTTTATATCACCTGAGCCGAAGGCTCAAGTGAGCTTTTCTGATCACATTTTGTCCGTCGTCCGTCCGTCTGTCTGTCCGTCTGTAAACTTTTCACATTTTCGACTTCTTCTCAAGAACCACTGGGCCAATTTTGACCAAACTTGGTACTCTCCTTGGGTAAAGGGAAATTTGAATTGTTAAAATGAAGGGACATATCTCCTCGCAAACATGAGATAATCAAGAAAAGACAAAAATAGGGTGGGGTCATTAAAAAATCTTCTTCTCAAGAACCACTGGGCCAGTAAAGCTGAAACTTATGTGGAAGCATTCTGGGATAGTGTAGATTCTTTGTTCAAATAATGACCCCCGGGGGAAGGGCGGGGCCACAATGGAATCAAAGTTTTGTATAGAAATATATAGGAAAAATCTTTGAAAATCTTCTTCTCAAGAACCACTGGGCCAGAAAAGCTGAAACTTATATGGAAGCATCCTGGTATAGTGTAGATTCTAAATTGTTCAAATCATGACCCCCGGGGAAGGGCGGGGCCACAATGGGGAATCAAAGTTTTATATAGAAATATATAGGAAAAATCTTTGAAAATCTTCTTCTCAAGAACCACTTGGCCAGAGAAGCTGAAACTTATATGGAAGTATTCTGGTATAGTGTAGATTCTAAATTGTTCAAATCATGACCCCCGGGGAAGGGCGGGGCCACAATGGGGAATCAAAGTTTTACATAGAAATATATAGGAAAAATCTTTGAAAATCTTCTTCTCAAGAACCACTTGGCCAGAAAAGCTGAAACTTTTCTGTAAGCATCCTGATATAATGTAGATTATAAATTGTTCAAATAATGACCCCCGGGGTATATGGGGTGGAGCCACAATGGGGAATCAAAGTTTTATATAGAAATATATAGGAAAAATCTTTGAAAATCTTCTTCTCAAGAACCACTTGGCCAGAAAAGCTGAAACTTATGTGGAAGCATCCTGGTAGTAGTGTAGATTCTAAATTGTTCAAATCATGACCCCCAGGGGAAGGGCGGGGCCACAATGGGGTATCAAAGTTTTACATAGAAATATATAGGAAAAATCTTTGAAAATCTTCTTCTCAAGAACCACTGGGCCAGAAAAGCTGAAACTTATGTGGAAGCATCCTGGTATAATGTAGATTCTAAATTGTTCAAATAATGACACCCGGGGGAAGGGCGGGGCCACAATGGGGAATCAAAGTTTTAGATAGAAATATATAAGAAAAATCTTTGAAAATTTTCTTCTCAAGAACCACTTGGCCAGAAAAAGTGAAGCTTATGTGGAAGCATTCTGGGGTAGTGTAAATTCTAAATTGTAAATCATGACCCCCGGGGAAGGGCGGGGTCATTATAGATTCAAAGTTTTACATAGAAATATATGGGAAAAATCTTTGAAAATCTTCTTCTCAAGAACCACTGGGCCAAAAAAGCTGAAACATATGTGCCCATGGAAGGATCATAAAGGTATTGTAGATTTCAAAATGTCTAAATTATGATCAGTGGGGTAGGATGGGGATGATTTTTTATAACAAGGGTGAAATCTGGTAAAGAACAGAATGGTCAAAGCTTCTCAGGTGAGCAGATGTGGCCCATGGGCCTCTTGTTTTATATTTTCACGATTGCAAAGCACGAATGAAAATATTCAAAAATCCTCTTTTTCGAGTGAAATAAATTCCATATTCAACTACAAAATATTGAATATCCTTTATTTATTTGCATTTTCTTTGAGTTTTCCTCAGTTTTTTTTTTTTTTTTTTTTTGGTAATAAAAACATAGGCTTTATGTCGTCATAGTTCAGACGTCAAAGCTTCAGTGAAGTGAAAAATTTGTAAACATGGGATTTAGCAACATATTTAGGATACTTTTGGTAGTTTTATTCTCTGTCAGAATGTTTTATTTACTTCTGTTTATCTAACATTGTATATCGATCAGGTCAAGGAAGAATTTTACAACACTCTCTTGAGGGATCTTTTTCGTGCCAGTACCTACTGCGACACAGGACCTCAGTTTATACGGTTTCATCCGAAGGACCGGTCTCTACGTCCCAAATTGGGATTCGAACCCGCAAAGTAAGAAATAACTCCTTACTTTGCGACTCTGGAGAAGGTGCACTAACCACTCCGCCACACGGCGACGTGTGAATATGCCATTTCTTTGTATAATATTAATATGAACAACCTTGAGAAAAAACAAGATGTGTTTGTGAAACACTATGCGCCCGGCGTCAACAAAGTTCGAAAAAGCTATTCTTAGCATAAAGGTTACAGTCAAGGTCACAAGGTCATTGACCTCGGTGTCGTTTGAAAGCACTTAATTAGTGAAGTAGGCATACCAAATATAAAGTATCTATCTCCTATGGTTCAAAAGTTATACCGAAAGTTCGAAAAATCTATTTTTAGCATATAGGTCACAGTCAAGGTCAAAAGGTCATTGTCCTTGGTGTCAGTTGAAAGTGCTTATTTAGTGGAGTATGCATTTTAAATATGAAGTCTCTATCTCGATCTGTTCAAAAGTTATGGCGAAGGTTAAAGTTGATAACAAATAGAATAAAAGTAGGTCAAACTCCAAGGTCAAGGTCAAGAGGTCAAATTTGGTGGCACCCAAAGAAAGGTCATGTCACAAGTAACACACCTATGAATTATGAAAGCCATAGCACCAACCACTCAATAAATATGGGCTTGGTTAAAGTTGGGGGACAAACAAACAAACAAACAAACAGACAGACAGACAGACAGACAGACAGGACAAAAACATACCCCCATCTTTCGATCCGGGGGCATAAAAAAAACCTAACTTTTAATTCTGAATTTGTGTCCCCCACATTGTCATATTATCAATGTGATATGTGCAAAACATCCTTGTTAAAAAGTTGTTTCCTTTGGGTATCTCCCTGTGGTGATCATTGTGATAATGTTTCTCCGGGTAACTTAATTATAACTTATTTGTAGACTTGAATGTGCATGACAAATCTTGTTCACGATGAGAGGTATATTTCTGATGATAATCATTCACTGCGTTTCTGAAGGTAAGGTATGCATAAACGTATTGATGCATAATGGAATTCATGAAATAATTAACGTCATGTTACATGTAGTTAAACAAACTGTTCCAAATATATGAGGTAAAATATATTTATTTAACCTCTACTAATTTTTCCTATATAAATAAAGTAGATCATTAGATGTGATAATTATACCCCTACTGATTTTTTCATACATAACATTAGATTGTTATATCTAATTCCTTAGAGTTCGTTATGAATAAACTAATCCCCGCGCGTTAGTCAAGTGAGTTAATCCTTGCTTCGAAATCTAACTTCCGTTTACCCATAATCCTCTAGATTTTACTTTTGCATTGGTATGATTTGTAAATGGACTAATCCCCATGTGTTAGTTTAGAGAGCTAATCCCTGCTTTGAAATCGCACTTTCTGAATCCTCTAAATTTTACGTTTGTAGCGGTATAATAAAACAGTTAAAAAGTATATCATTTCGGAAATTAGCAAGATTTCAGTTCCCATCGGCCATTTCCTTCGGCTTCGTCTTAGGAAATAGTCCTGGCCTTGGTGAGATGGAATCTTGCTAACTCCCTCAATGATATACTTTAACTGTATAATAATTAATTAGAAATCACTGTGAATGGACTAATTCCCGTGCGTTAGTCAAGTGAAATAGATTCTAATTGTTTTTTTTTTTTAACTATTTCCTGGTTATCCGAAATTCACTAGATTTTGTAACTTATTTATTAGAATAAAATGTTAGTGGACTAATTTCCCTGTGTTAGTCATGTAAGCTAATCCTTGTTTTGAAAGCTAATCAGTTTTTGTTTATCCGTAATTCTCTTAATTTTACTCTTTTATCGGTAAATTACAAAAGTTGAAACGTGTATGCATATAATTAGGGAGTTGGTAAGATTCCAATTCTAATCGACAAGGACTATTTCCCTCGGCCTCGCCTCGGGAAACAGTTCTGGCCCTAGAATCAGGAAACATCCTAAGCATAAGTCAAAATATTTCTTTTGTTCTATAATTTGTAGAAGTAAATTAACAGGCAAAACTCAAAATTATTTAAAAAATTACTTTGCAAAAATGTTGTTATTTGCAAAATTAGAGATAATTTAAATGAATTATAAATAACTAACAGAAGACTGAAAATGGAATTAAGTCTAAATCTGTTTCATGAACCTAGGGCCAGGTCTCAGGATCATGAAACAAACTTTCAATTAAGTAAAATTTTCAATCGCCTATAAAATATTTATTAAATATGGATTTTATTTCCAAATAACAACAGCTGTGTGAAACAATATTTTAATTTTGGTCAGCTTAACTTCAACAACAATTTATTATAAAATAAAGATTTTTACTCAAGCTTCAGATGTTTCACAATTCTGGGACCTGGCCTTGGAAAACTGGAATCTTGCTACATGTAACTCCCTCTATGATATACTATAACTGTATAATATACTTTTGTATGTAAAATTACTTTAATTTCACGTTATAAAATGTAAAACGTGTAGATATAAAATTGCAGGTTCGTTAGGAGAGTTTACAACAACGCATGTCAAAATCATCCATAATGCTGTTCTTGGTCCTTCTTACAACAAATATGTGAGACCCTCTGACGTCACAAACATCAACATTAAATTAGTTCTTTTCTCTCTCAATGATCTGGTAACTTCGTCAAAAATTATATTTATATAAAAGATTTGAGTTTTGATGAACTTATTATCATAAAATTTAAAGTACCTGGCCTGAGGATCATGAAAAACTTAAGTCAAATTTTCAATTGCCTATAAAATATTTAATGATTATGGAAATTATCTCTGAATTTGCAAATACATGTACATGTAACAACACCATTGTGAAACTATATTGAAAAATATTTTAATTTTGGTCTGCTTAACTTCTACAACATTTTATTATAGAATAAAGAATTATACTCAAGCTTAAGATGTTTCAAGATACTGGGGCCTGGAATATTTTTCATATTTATTTTGTAGGACATGAAAAAACAAACAATGTTTACCTCCGGTTGGATGACAGTCCTAAGTAGCTGTATTAAAATTTCTACCAATCTGTCTAAATCATCTCTTCTGACCCATAAAGATATTATAAAAAGGATGTTTTCCTCCTTTAAAAAAAATTGAGGAATCATCATTGACTACTATATATTTATTATATAAAAACGTTATCAGCAGACCCATTTTTGTATTTATATATGAAGTCAGAACTTGTCTAAAATCTTATAAGGAAGAGAAAAACTTGCTGTGGCCTTCAACTCGACATAAAGATACAGTGTACATATCGACGACGCATTGTCAATTAACGATGGTAATTTCTATTCTTATGTCGATCGATACGATATATCCCGGATGAGCTTGAAGTAAAAGTTACCTCAGAGTCTGACACGTCTGTTTCATATTTTTTTTTATTTTACTATTTTACTAATTTTTCAATCGTCAACTTTAATTCTAGAGACTAGGGCAGCGATATAAATTCATCGCCTGCATAGGGGTTTGTATCTCTCAGTTGATTCGATACACAAGAGCATGCTCTACGTACCAAACATATTCTAAAACAATACGTTATTGACAAACAAGTTGATGAAACAAGAATATCAGCAATCTTGTTTCTTAAGTTCTATGGTGGAAGCAATGACCATGTCAGCATAACAATTCATCATTAAGTCAAATGGACAGACTTTTTTCACACTAAATTTCTAATTCATACCTAATTTATCTTGGTCGTGCTGTTTTTCAAAAGAGGATTTTTAAATATATTTTTAGGTCACCTGAGTAACTCAGGTGACCTATTGCTATCCGTTTTCGTCCGTCGTCGTCCGTCGTGTGTTAACATCTGAACATTTTCAGCTTCTTCTCTGAAACCACTGAACCAATTTCAACCAAATTTGGTATGCAGCATCTATGGGTGAAGGGGAACAAAAATTGTGAATTTCATGGTCCCCGCCCCCCTGGGGCCTGAGGGGTGGGGCCAAAACCACAAAAATTAATGAAATCTTTAAAAATCTTCTTCTTTACTCCTGGACATCAAGCAGGCAAACTATTGGCATGAATGTAATGAGCATTGAGTCCTCTACCAAAATTGTGAAATTCATGGCCCCAGGGTCAGGGGTTCTAGTGCTAGGGCGGGGCTCTATTGATTATATAGTGAAAATGCATTAATTCTTTGAAAATCTTCTTCTCTGCTCCTGGGTATTGAATAAACTAACTAAGTACATAGTTATGATGAGCAAGAGTGCCTCTTCCAGATTTGTGAATTTCATGGCCCCAGGATCAGGGGTTCTGGTGTTAGGGCGGGGCTCTACAGATTATATAGTGAAAATGCATTATTTCTTTGAAAATCTTCTTCTCTGCTCCTGGGTATTTAATAAACAAATTAAGCACATAGTTATGATGAGCAAGAGTGCCTCTTCCAGATTTGTGAATTTTATGGCCCCAGGGTCAGGGGTTTTGGTGTTAGGGCGGGGCTCTATAGATTATATAGTGAAAATGCATTATTTCTTTGAAAATCTTCTTCTCTGCTCCTAGGTATTAAATACACTAACTAAGCACATAGTTATGATGAGCAGGAGTGCCTCTTCCATATTTGTGAATTTCTTGGCCCCAGGGTCAGGGGTTCTAGTGTTAAGTCGGGGCTCTATTGATTATATAGTAAAAATACATTTATTCTTTGTAAATATTTTTCTTTGCTTCTGGGTTTTAAGCCAATGATATATATATATCATAAAAAAGGTGCATCTAGCAAAGTGGTTTTTAATGCCCCCAGGGTCAAAGGGGGGGGGGGGTGGTGGTTACATAGTGTGAAAATAAATTATTGCTTTGAAATCTGCTCTTTGGTATTAATCAACCATTTTATGATAAAATTCAAAATTTTGAAATATATGGCCCTGGGTCAGTGGTTCCTTTGGGGTGAGGTGCACAACTGGTTATAAAGTGGAAGTGCATTTTCTCTTTGTTACTCTATCACCTAGGTATTACAGTAAATAGAGTAAGCATGCTAAGTTAATAATTATGTAAGCATATTCTTTCAAAATTGTAAATTGTGAATTTCATGGCCTCCGGTTTAAACACGAACAAATTTAATTGTTTGAAAGTTGTTACACATACTCCTATTATAAGGTGGGCCTCTTGTTAGTAATACTAAATTGATTCACCAGTTGATTCTATTCGCAAAATACATGCTTTGCATACGAGCAATTAAATTTTCTAAATCGAAGCAAGCTTTTGTCAGATAAGTTAATGTACAGGGAAATCGAGAGTCTAGTTAATAGTTCGCTAATTCTAGCATTGATACATGGATCGGTCGGCAATGAAATCAATCGCGATCGTTAATTTGAACGTTTACGACGTCTTTTTTTTCTTAGTTAGCGGTCGACAGGATATGCTTACTCCACCATGGCATCTAATCCCATCTCAGCTGATGTTTTTAGAGATCCGACTTTGCTCTGCTTTCAAATTTGTAATCTTTCAATAGACTTTTAAGCTTGATTTCTGTTCGGCGGATGCGACCGGTCAACAGGGGATGATTACTCCTTCCAGGACTCTGATCCCCACCCCTCAAATTTCCGTGATCATATTGTACACTCTGTTCCAAGAATTGTATTATAATTTTATTAGATATTTTTTCGACTTTTGTTCGTTTTGATATATTGGGTTTTTTTTTCATTTGAAGTCTCCCTGCTTCATCCATAATCCATCTTCCCGAGTCAAGAGTTTCTGATCCGCTCTGCTCGTGAAGTGGAGCGGATCAGAAACTCTTGACTTGGGAAGATGCATAATCATGCTTAGAGACAGAATACTTGATGATGTCGATATTAACATCTTTTGCTCGAGGGAGAAATAAATCATAAAAATGACTTTTTTTAAAAATCTGACTTTAAAAAAAACAGATAGCTCACCTAAATGACTTTCGTGAACTAATACATTTGTTATTTTCCCCACAACCTTTTTTCTCTCAATGCAGGAGACTTTGCAAATGAAAATGAACTCTAAGGAGGCTGGGTGGTCTTCAAATAAACCATCAGACATAACTTTTTTAGATATGATATCTTAAGCTGTCAACCATCATTTCGAAAAAAAAATTCATACATTTTAATTTTAAAATTTGAAGACTGTATATCTTTATGTGGAGTTTTTCTTCTAAAGAAGGTTAATATGGTCACAACCACCCAGCCCTCTTATGGTGATCTCTAACTTGTAGACATGGGAAGATCCTCGCCTGGTATGGTCAAAAGCTTCAAACGGCGATATAGAATACATATACACTAAAAAGGACAATATATGGCGACCAGAACTTATCATTGACAACTCGTAAGTTTAGTTTTTAACTTAAAATTACAAATATCTTTTTTCCACTGTATTAAAAATGGTCTTAATTCATGCTTAAAGTGCTACAGCACAATTTAGTGACACATTCGACGTAAAAATTTGACTTCAAAGCTTATTAGCAAATATTTTGATATTCTGTACCTAACTCATTTTTATTTATTTCCAAGAGTTGGAGGCATGGACCCAATCGGTAATGACGAAATATTCTTCAGAGTAAGGAATACTGGCGAGGTACACTGGGACCCTCCAGGACTTTTTATTACGCATTGTGATATTGACATTGCGTACTTTCCATTCGACTATCAAGTGTGTAAGATAGAAGTCTCTAGTTCTGCCTTCACAACAGAGGTACTGACTTTAAACAAAAGCCATGACAAGGTCAATACAGAGAATTTCCACGAAAACGGGGAGTGGATCTTATACTCATCACGAGTAGAGGAGAGCATTTTAGAAGAACATGGTGAGAAATTTTCCAAACTGGAGTTCCAGATTGTTTTCCAGCGGCGCCCAGGGTATTACCTGACCAACATTGTTTACCCTGTGATACTGATTTCTCTGCTGACAAACCTAAGTTTCCTCTTACCAACGGACTCCGGAGAGAAGATTTCCTACACGTTGACAGTTTTACTAGCTTTGGTGGTGATGCTAATGATGGTGGGGGACAACATGCCCACAGCCTCAAAACATACTCCTATCATAGGTAAACGTACTCATATCATAGGAACCCATACTCCTATCATAGGTAAACGTACTCATATCATAGGTCAACATACTCCTATCATAGGTAAACGTACTCCTATCATAGGTAAACATACTCATATCATAGGAACCCATACTCCTATCATAGGTCAACATACTCCTATCATAGGTAAATGTACTCCTATCATAGGTAAACGTACTCATATCATAGGTCAACATACTCCTATCATAGGTCAACATACTCCTATCATAGGTACACATATTCCTATCATAGGTAAAGATACTCCTATCATAGGCAAACATACCCCTATCATAGGTCAACATAACGGTCAACATACTCCTATCATAGGTCAATATACTCCTATCATAGGTAAACATACTCTTATCATAGGTTAACATACACCTATCCTAGGTAAACATACTCTTGTCATAGGTCAACATACTCCTATCATAGGTAAACATACTCCTATCATAGGTAAACATATTCCTATCATCGGTCTACACACTCCTACATTGTATGTTAGGTCATCATACTCCTATCATAGGTAAACGTACTCCTATCATAGGAACCCATACTCCTATCATAGGTAAACGTTTCCTATCATAGGTAAACGTACTCATATCATAGGTAAACGTACTCCTATCATAGGTAAACGTACTCATATCAGAGGTAAACATACTCCTATCATAGGAACCCATACTCCTATCATAGGTCAACATACTCCTATCATAGGTCAACATACTCATATCATAGGTCAACATACTCCTATCATAGGTCAACATACTTCTACAATGTATGATAGGTCAACATACTCCTATCATAGGTCAACATACTCCTATAATAGATAAACATACTCCTATCATAGGTCAACATACTGGTCAACATACACCTATCTTTAGCCAGTTAAGACTGAAGATATTATAATATAATTATAAAATACCATAAGTAGGTCACAGTGACCTACCTTTTGATTGAAATTTTCTGAGGACTAAAGATACATTAATTGACAACCTGAGATATTCAAAAGAAGGTCACCATGACCTACTTATTGGTCAACTCTGAAAACCCAAGATGCCATCATCTGAAAAAAGTTTGACGATTCTAAGCCAATTACCAGAGATAATTAAATATAGCTATCAAATGTCAAAAGTAGGTTACGGTGACCTATTTTTGTTTACGTTATCCAAAAACCCTAGATGCCTAAGCTGACAAAATTTGATGATTCTAAGCCAATAAGTACCTGAGATATTTAAATGTAGGTCACCCTGACCTACTTCTTGTTGGACATTCAATGAAACCCTAAGATGCCTCAACTGACAAAGTTTGATGATTCTGAGCCAATAAGTACAAATATAATTAAATATAACCATAAAATGTCAAAAGTAGGTCACAGTGACCGTTTTTGGATACATTCTCCAAAACCCAAGTTGCCTAAACTGATAAAGTTTGATGATTCTAAGAATACATACCTGAGATATTCAAAAGTAGGTCACTGTGACCTACTTTTTGAGGGACATTCTCCAAAAACCCAAGATGCCTCAACTGACAAAATTTGATGATTCTTAGCCAGTAAGTGTCTGAGATACTTAAAAATAGCCATAAAATGTCTAAAGTAGGTCACTGTGACCTACTTTTTGTGACAATCTCTGAAAACCCAAGATGCATCACCTGACAAAGTTTGATGATTTTATGTCGATAAGTACCAGAGATACTTAATTATAGCCACAAAATGTCAAAAGTAGGTCACCATGACCTACTTTTTGGTCGTCACTCTTCGAAAACCAAATATGCATAGACTCACAAAGTTTGATGATTCTAAGCCAATAAATACCTAAGATACTTAAATATAGCTATAAAATGTCAAAAGTAGGTCATCGTGACCTACATTTTGGTCGACATTTTTCAAAGACCCAAGATGCATTTACTGACCAAGTTTGATGATCGTAGGTCTGAAGGTAATCAAAATATGCGTTTTAAACAATTTGAAAACAAATGTTGGCAAATTCAAAAAGTAGGTCACAGTGACCTACTTTTTCATAAATATGTTTTAAGGACCCAAGATGCATCAAAGTACAAGATTTGATGATTCTAAACATCCCAGTGTCTGAAATAATGGGATTTAATGTTTTTAAGAAGATAAGTCATTAAGTTCAAAAAGTAGGTCAAATTGACCTACTTTTAAGTTCACATTGCAGGATCCAAGATGCATCAACTGACAAAGTTTGATGATCATAGGCCTTAAAGTGTCCAAAATATGCCTTTAAATCAATTTGAAAACAAATCCCCGCAAAATTTAAAAAGTAGGTCACTGTGACCTACTTTTGAATTAACATGATGTGAAGTCGTTGCATCAACTTACAAGATTTGATGATCCTAGTCCTTATAGTAAGCAAAATATACACGTTTTTATTAATTGTAAATTTAGGTCAACTTTGAAGTGACCTTGAGACCACGCCCTTTGCCCCAGGGTAATTCCCCGCGCAAATTTTAATCTTCGACATAGCCTGATCCTTGTATATAAGTTTGGTGAAAATCTGCCCGGTGGTTATGGAGAAGAAGATTTTTTAGCAACCAGTACTTATGGTTTTGTTTTCCTGATTATCTCCCCTTGTTTAAGGGTCCCAACCCTTATTTTAGTATAAATGGTAGCCCTTGGGCCTAGGATATATGACAAATTTGGTACTGATAGGCCAAGGGGTGGCCCATATTCTAAAAAGTTTACCCACATGGCACATATAGCCATAGCATTAGCTCTTTGAGCCTTTGGCTCAGAAGAGCTAAAAATCCTTAAATTTAAAAAAAAAATTGAGTAATTCACTACATTTCGTATTTGAAAAAGTCTCAGAACATATGTTTTCCTATGTCAAAGGCCATAAAGGTAACCTGAAAATCATTGGGTTCTCAAGTTTTGTTCACTTTTGACTTATCAAGAAAGGGAATCCAAAACAGTTTTGCAAGGACACTAGAATCATTAATGTGCTTATAGCTTGTGTTTTAGAAGTCCAGGGGTAAACATGATAATGAACACTGAAAAATAAATTCCAATAATTATTGGTCTCAAAATACTTGGGCAAAAGAGAAACAGAGACCGTAATATTTGCTAGTTTGGCTCTTATTTGCCCAAAATTTGGAAAATAGTGTCAAAATCGCTTTTGACATTCTAGAGAAGCTGAAATTGTTCAAATGTTAAGGCATGACCAGGAATGCGTATAATACTAAAATGGGTGACAAAAAATGCAATACACTGTACATGTGCATTACCTGTGTGACTCTCGATAACCTAAATCTTGTAATTTGTTCACATATCTTAAGTGTGCTTTATAAATTTACTCTGAACATAATATGTAAATTTTATTTTGAACAGGAATTTACATATCTATAATACTGATGATGGCCGCCCTAGGTATATTCATCACAGTTTTAAACCTCCATCTCTGTCTCAAAACTGACCAATCAAACGTACCAAAATGGCTTCAACATTTCACATTCAGCGTGCTCCTCAAAATTAACTGCAAAAGCAAGAAGGTGGAAGACACAAAGTTACACCAACTTGACACCACAGAAAACAAAACGGAATTACCAGAAACCAATGAAGGAAGAAAATCAATGAAGCGTATGCTGAGATACCGGTATGGCTCACAAACTCCTGCAGTCCAGACAGAGTTAGAATTTCCATTCGAGTGTAAAGAAGTGTCTGTTTTTCTGGACTTTTTCTTCTTTTGTCTGTTTAATATCATGAACTTCATTGTAACAAAGGTTTTGTTAATTATCATAGCTGTATGTGATGTTCCTCCAGTCTGAAGGCAAATCTTATCAATTTCTTCTCTTGCAATAATTGCGTAAGTTAATCACAGTTTATTTTGGTTTCTGTAGGTTTTTTTGGTGTTCTTAGAAGATGAAAGCATCTGACATGAAATAAATATTTTGTTACCATGTAAACAAAATTGAGCAAAATCAGTTTTTTAATTCTTAATTTTCAGAAAAACAACAAATGACATGACAACTTTTTGTATATGAAGACATGTAAATCAGTCATTTTAGTCACCAAGTGAAATCACTATGGACGTTTTTACACTACATTTTGTTCACCCCTCGTTAAGCTTTCTGCAGCATCAGTTGCCTGTACTTGGTGGAGAGAACAGTCCACCTGTTCTGCCATTGCTGTAGTGTATTCTGGTCCACCTTTACCCAGGGTACTGTGTACTGAGCCGGCTGGTCCCACCTTAATTAAATAAGATAAGAGAAATGATTTCCCTGAATGTAACAAAATTATCAAATCAAGCTACAAAAAAGAAAAATTTAACATTTTCTCATGTTTAATTTTTAAATCAATAAGAAACAGTAGTCAGATCTACGATATCAAATTTTTTTTCATAATTTCTCTTTATCAACTTGTGTTAAATACTGTAAAAGTGGAAACTTTGATGATGAGGAAACGTTGACAAAATTGATGAATTTCTAATAATCGTCAAAGTTTCCACTCGTAAACTTTCATATCACTGTTAAAGAGCACTATGAAATAATAGCAGATCGTCAGAGTTTCCACTTGCCATTTTTTTAAATATATACCAAAATCAAACTTTCATCCAGGGGATGACAAATCCCATTGCATCGACCGGGGCTAGTGAATTTTAGGTGTGGGCAAGTGGAATTTTACAACCACTTGCCCGCGGGCAAGTGATTTATCAAAAATAGAATTTATTTGTAGGCCATAAATTTAAAGCTTGGCATGGGGGCTTGCTCAGCATTTGTCTAAAATATCTATAAATATAGAATTAGTTTATGGTAGGGCAAGCAAAAATTCAGGTAGGGCAAGTCAATTTTGACCATACTTGCCCTTGGAAGTCCTTAAAAATCTATTTGTCAGCCCCTGTTTCATCCCTTCAATATAACCACTTTAACTGTACTTTATGATTCTTTAATATTTTCTATCCTGTCATTTTCCATGTACATACATATTCCTGACAAGAACAGTGATGATTCTATGAATTGTCCAAAATATCGGAAATATTTTAGGCGGTCAACAGGGTGCCAACATAGGGGCTTTAAGGAGTCCTAAATAGGTTTAAATAAGTAACAAATATTGAAGTTCAACAGTCTGTTTAACAACTGTTATATCCTGATAAACCATTGTTACAAAGTCTGAATCATGCATACGTTTGTGATTACATTTCCTGGAGATACCAAAAATCTGGATGACGCAGACTAGAACAAAACATGGACTAGACAACTTGAATATACTTCCTGGACAGAAACCGACACAGATTAATGCAAAATTAGAAAGTACAAAAAATCTGAAAATACACATTTATATCAGCGTTTTGGATACAAATTAGCAGAATTCTGCCAAATATCGGAAAAGAATCATCACTGCAAGAATCACCCTACCATTTCTGCAGGGTATCTGACACAGTGTTACATATTCTACCTGTACATACATAGTCCTGACATAGACCTACCATTCCTGCAGTCTTTCTGACACGGTGTGACAGTCTGTGAGGGCTGCCCCCGTACGGTGAAGTCTCTGTTGTAGTACAGGTAAACTTCTCTCTAGTAATGCCTTATCCTGCTCCCTCACTCTCTCACAAAGATCTGTAACAGGTTTCAAAAACAAACCATTTTTCAGTATAATGTAAGTTACGCTCCCAACTACATATATATATAAAATCAATTGAGCTTCCATCTATGTTATGTGCTTACCACAATATTTTTTGCATTAATATCAGTTATTTTATTAGTTGTCCTTTATATCTGTAAGACTTTATAAGGACTGTTACCTGCAATCTGCTTGACTTTGTCCCCATCCTGTCCTTTCACACTCAGTGGGGAGGACTGTAGTTCTAGCTGATTTATCTTCCTTTTAAGTTCAATGCACTTCAACATCAACAGTTCAGGGGCCTAGACAGTTAAAGAGAAAATACATTTTTAAAACGGATCACAGCTTTGGAAAATTCAAAATAAGTCTTATGTTTTAGACTGAGTATTTTTTAAATATTTGATATCCATGAGCCATTTGGCATTACTTTCAAGTTTCTTATGCCAAATGACAAAATATACAGTGCAAGTGTTACCATTGTATAATTCTTCTATATTACAAAAACTGAAAGATATTGCACACTTCTAATCCAGACCTTTAGTTTGTTCAAAAAACATTGCTTTAAGGTCATAACATCCCTGGTCATATACTAGTATCAGGCTATATATATATATTTTTACTATTAGAGTCATGAGCGAGACTGAATTTGTCAACAAATATTGAAACACTTCTGCACAGAGACCAAGAATAATATCATAAGAGCGTTGATCTCAGGCCAGTAAAAGACAATTCATGGTAAATGTTGATTTAACCTGATAACGCCTGAATCCCAGATGTTGGAGAATGTGATTGATAGATTCCCTGGCTGTGTGTGGACTGGTCTGGTAGATGGACATGTCACTGACCGCTATTTTTAATGCCCTGTAGAGAACAATCATTATCATAAATTCATAATCAGTTCAGTATTCAGAACCAAGGAAAATATAATATAATTTTTATAAATTTTCTAACTTGAATTAAAGAGTAAACAATGCATACTAGCTAAAATGACTGACTGATTGTAAGATTTACATTACAATGCAAGAAAAATAATTTAAATTTTGAAATAAGAATGATCAAAAGTATAAATTTTTATCCATTTTGTCATCAAGGTTTTACACTTGAATTGGTGTTTTATCAAGTTTCGTGAGGTTACCAACACCAAATAAAGTTTGAAACTGAAAATTTAAAAAAAAAATTAAATGAAGGCCTGGAAGGCAATAAAAATGACCAATCCTCGTTCTGACTGACCTGTCGGAGGAATCACAGAACAACAGCTGAGGGACGTCCAGGGTAGAGAACTTCTCCACCTCTTTATTTACAAATCCATGAAGATCATCTCTCAGAAGCTTTGTCTCCATATGATGACTCTCTGATGACTTCTCTATGTACTTCAATATCTTAATTTTAAAAATTTGATTCATACTCATTTTTATATATTCTGTAATTAACATTGATAAATGCTCATTTTTGTATATTCTTCAACAAAAATCTAAAATATCAAGTTTTGTGCTATTTAAGTACATGTATATGGCCAAGAGCTAACAATGAATTCACTTTATTGACCTCAACCAAATTTAAGAAAAGTTTCATGACTAAGTCCTTTTGCAAAAAATAATAATGATAATCATATGAAAAAAATCTTTAGCCCAAACCTTAGATCACAGGGAATTTAAGCAAAAACCTAAGGCTCAGATGAGCTTAAATCATATCCTAAGGATTTTCTTACTTTATTTATGGTAAAAGATGATGCACAAGTATTTGCACTAGACTATCCTACCTCGTCCCTTTGAGATTCTAGGCGAGATTTTGCATTCATGTTTTGTCTGACAATGACTTGGATCAATTCTTGCTTCTTGTTCTGTAACAAAAAGATTAATTTCAACATTACTGCAACTTCTTCATCTATATATAATTCTGTTTTGACTATCTAATCTGGATACAGGATTCAGGGTTGTTTCAGGAATTTGAAAAGAAGGGGGTGTTTAAAAAGTAGAAGGGGGTCTTGGGTTCTCCTTTTATTGGGAGTTTAGGAGGAATACCAAAATAACAGGGGAATTACATCATTATAAGTGGGGAAATTCCCCGGCCCCTAGCTTAGGGACAACCCTGAGAATTACATATCCAAACACTCAAGCAGCTATGTCTCTGGATGGACACAAACTGCAGAGTATTTGTGAAATTAAATCCATTATCTGAATCAGTTTTCTTACCGCTATTTCTTTAAAATCTTGTATTTTATGATATTTCACAAAAAGAATTTCCTTCTCCCGCAATGCATCTGCAATATTTTCACGTAATAGCGTCGCCTCTTGTGATAAACATTGAAGTTTGGCTCGGTTTGCTGCTAGGTCCACCTCTAAATCTACCAAACTCCTGTCAATAGATAATTAAAGAACATTTTAGTTTTTTAATCAATATTTTAAAAACTCTTTTATAAGAGATCACACAATTTGGTGTTATTTATGTATGTAATTATAGATCATGGTGTAATAAATAAACAAGTGCATTCAAAAAATTGTGCAATCTTCTTTATCAGCTGACAAGTGTTATCAAAAATTAGCATATTTGCATCAAAGCTTCTATATGTATTTTTTTGTAAATCATGTATAAGTGTATACTTCAAGTAGAGGAATCAAGGTAAAAGGAGTTAAAGTATGAAAACAACTAAATTGAATATGTTTTCATTTCTCAAACTATTCAAAAATATCTTGAAGCAATTGTCTACGTTACCTTTAAACAAAAAATACTAAACATTGCCTACTGGGCATGCTCTGGCGCCTTCAGATAAACAAACCTTGCCAGATTAAGATCTCTGGAATTTCGGAACATTTTCTTCAGATGACTGTCTATTTTTGTGTTTAATTCCTCTAGCTGTTGATTATTTCTCCAAGCACTGTTTAAATATTTCTCTGTTTCTATGAATCTTTTTACTTGATTCATTCTGTTTTCCTGTGAAAAAAAAAAAGCATTTGTAGGTAATTAATACAATACATGTAACACCAGTGTGACTAAACTTCATTTCAATTTACATTATGTTTTACTTTATTTGGTATTCTGAATTTGACTTCATTTAACATACATGGTGACTACTCTTGTAGATGTCCATTACAGTATCTATGTTCTACCGCCTGTTTGGTTGAAAAGTTCGAGTTATAGCTGTTTAAGGTTTCGAGAGATAGAAATTAAATTAATAATGGTGAAGTACTTTCTTGTAGTAGTCCATTAATTTATGCCGTTCCGATTCA